TCTGAAGTGCTTGGTTCACAGGGAACTTCTGCGCTTCAATATGAGTTTAGGAGCTGAACTTAAGTTTTGCTAATGTAAAATTCTTGACCAACTGTCCTGGTTTCAGCTGGGATAGAGTTAATTGCCTTCCTAGTAGCTGGCACAGTGCTGTGTTTTGAGTTCAGTATGCGAAGAATGTTGATAACACTGAAGTTTTCAGCTGTTGCCAAGTAATGTTTAAAGTCAAGGATTTTTCAACTTCTCATGCCCAGCCAGCAAGAAGGCTGGAGGGAGCACAAGAAGTTGGGAGGGGACACAGCCAGGACGTGGCCAATGTGGTATTCCATACCATGTGACATCACGTCCAGTAGATCAACTGGGGGGAGTGGGGATGGGGGGATCTCCGCTCAGGGACTAACTGGGCATCAGTCAGCGGGTGGCGACCAATTGCATTGTGCGTTATTTGTATATTCCAATCCTTTTATTATTACTGTTGTCATTTTATTAGCGTTATCATTATCATTGTTAGTTTCTTCTTTTCTGTTCTATTAACCTGTTCTTATCTCAGCCCATGCATTTTACTTTGTTCCTGATTTTGTCCCCCATCCCACTGGGTGGGGGGGAGCGAGTGAGTGGCTGCGTGGTGCTTAGTTGCTGGCTGGGGTTAAACCACGACACCAACATATTTGTTATTTCTTCTAGAACACTCATGAAAGTGCTGCTAGGAAAAAACAGAAGCTTCACGTAAAGCAGAGTGTAACATTCCAGAAAGTCTTATGACCCACACTCTGACCTAAAGGAAAATTAATCTGACTTGGTCAGAGTTTTTAATCAGAATTTTTCTTTCTCTCCATCCTAGTTCAGTCCCATAATATATGCAAAACTGCACTTACAGTGTTTTTCGGAGATCATGGGATCTATAGCACATGCTGCTCAAGTTCTGCAACTTGTACTCTTTAAGACCTTTTTTTCTTTTTTTTTTTTTTTTTTTAAAGCGAGAATACCATTTTTGAAGGAGCAGAGAACAGAATGTGACTACAACAGTTAACATGAAAAGCTGTACTTACCGCATGGTAATATAAAAGTAGGAAATTAATGGCAATACCAAAGATGGCCTTGTAATAAAACTCATAAATTAATAAAACCATATCTGCTTTAGAAAATTTATCAAGCCATGCAGATGTTAAAGTGCAACAATCCTATTTCCAGAAAAAGGTTTACTACATTTTATGAATAAAAACTATTCCAACGAGCTCAATGCTTAAACTAGCTAACAAGCCTATTCAGTTAGCATGAAAGTTTTAATAAACAGCTATGTACAACACTTAACTATTTACTTCTGGCAGCTTTGCCACTGAAGAGGTTGCATCACTTCCCTACTGCACGCACGTCTCCTTTTCTCCTTTGTGACCTACGGATTTATACCTTCAAAGTGGAATTAGCAAACACACACACGAGCCTGGTTTGTTTTTATCACAGTAAGAGTATTCTAGCTACAATAAATGCATTGAAACATATAGTGCAATTCATTGGTATAAAATTAAGTGTACAACCTAATGTCTCCATAAGGCTTACAAATTGCCTGTAGTGCCTTTTAAGCCTTTCTGCTTACAGCAATGGACTCCTGAGAAATGTGTAATAGCACTTGCCTTACTGTGGTAGAGACCGTGGTTTAAACATGCTTTGCACCTCCTAAACATCTGTCTGGTTTTAGTGAGGCTTTATTATGTTTGAAGAAATACAAATGAAGGGAAAATAAAAAGACACTTTTTAGGTATCTTGGATTTCGTGGTTTTCTGTGTTACTTTAAGTATGTTCAAAATACAGAGTATACTTGTTCAATCATATCAGAATAGCAAACCTTTGGGTGGCTATCTCATACAATATATAAAAATTCAGTCTGATGCACGAGCTCTACTGGCAAGGGATGGCAGTATTACATAAAAGTAGTATAACGCTCATCAGACATGTCAAATGCCTTCACACCCCTGCATTTTTTTTGTGTAAGGATCATTTAATAAGTTAAAGTGTTGCAAAGAACTGAAGTCCTGTCTTCATATGTCTCCCTATAAATTTAGGGGTTGTCAATATCACCAGTTAAAACAATGTGCTTGTAAAATCTGTAATATTTTAATTGAAAGCATTTACATGGGGAAAAGGAAGCTTTCACTTCTACCCTGACACTGCAGCAAGCCACTGAAACTTGACTGTCACAACCTAGCTGTTCCACAGTCAGGTGCCTTTTAAAAGGGCTACTTAAGCGGAACTACTAAAACATTTCAGCAGTCAGAGTTTGATAGATGAGTTGTAATGAACATTGCTGCAGTAATGCAATGTGTTACAATAAAGTCTGAGTTTACCACCCTACAGTAATGTGGCTTTTCTGTCACTACAAGGCAGTCTAACATTATAGCCTTATATTCTACAGATGCTAAAATCATCTGAATTATATTAATTAATCTCAGCTTTTGTGACATTATGTGTGATCTAACAATGTTTTCATGCAGGCTGATCAGGACTTCACCCTATCATTCATCCTATTATGCCTCTACCTCATTCAACAATCTCACAAAAGAGGGAGCATCACAATTCATTACAGAATCCAAGTGGTGTTTTGTGGTGGTGTGGTGTTTTTTTGTGGGGTGGTTTTTTTTTTTTTTTTTTTTTTTAAATGGTTGCTTCCATCAAGAGTACTTGCTCACCAAGCAAACAATGTGCTGGTCACCAGCCTTCTTCAGCAGCAGCTCTGGACTGAACTCACTGACGCACATGACTTTCAGTGCTTCTTCACCACGCAATGTGGTGTTTGTTTAAGGGCTCGTCTATTGTAGGCTGCAGCGCCCTTCAACCCAAACACTCCGCACAGCTTAGCTGCACACAAGTGCAGCTATTACACTCACCACAATTAGAAAACATCTCCCTTACCAAAACAAATATGAACCAAAAGAACCCTTCGGTTTTCAGAAGACGGATCCCCATGTTACACAGACCATACATGCAAATTAGGCACACTTGTATTTAGCCAACTTCAATCAGCTTGCTTTGCTCTTTCACGGATGTGGACAGAGTAGCCTCTGGAGCTTCTCTCACCTCAAAGTCGTCCATGAGATACTAAGCTTACCTTTTTCTTCTTTTCAGACATGTGTCTCAGGGAACTCTCTCTTGTCCACTGCACTCTGAAATTCTCAAATTCCCAAGCTCACACACAAAGCAAAAGATAACTAATCTCAGACAGCCAGCTTGAGCCATGCGCCATAAAAACTCTTGTAGAGGAGATGCGATACTCCCAGACTACAGTTCGTGTGCCGTCCCTCACATACCGACTAAAATACTGTATAATCACAGAAAGCAGACCTCAGGACATATCCCTATAGACCCTGGGGCATGATCATCAAAATCAAGTGTCTCCACCTTAGCTGTCTGTCTGTTCTGTTTCCAAAACCTCCAGTGAAGGAAGGCTCCTCACCCCACCTGGAATAACCCATTCTCCTTAGCTTAACTAGGTGTATTGCAAGGAAATTTTCCTAATGCTTAACTTGCCTTTTAAATGAATAGCCTGGATCTACATCTTCCTTCAGTCTTCTCTTCTTTGGATTAAAGAATACTTTTGATCTCTTTTTTTTGAGTACTTTCTGTCCCCCAGACTCTATCCAGCTACTCCCCGTTTTTCTCAGGTGCCCCAACATGGACAGGTACTTCAGGTAAGGCCTTATCACACCTTGGTAACACAGAAATGCCACCACGCTTCTCACAGGCTACACTGTTGATGCATCCCACTACAATGAGTATCTTTTCTGCAGCAATGAGTTAACAGTGCTCCGCTTGTCTACTCTGTAACATCCCTGCCCCAGGGTGTTTTATGCAGCAATACCCACTCCCTCCTCTGTTTGTGCAGCTGATTATTCCTACCTAAGTGTAGTTCTTCACATGCCTTATTTTTCTAAACCATTTCTCCTGTTTTTCATGATCAGATTTAATTCAAATCTTGTCTGCAAGTCTGCTGCAGCCCTGTCAGCTTAGCATGCGCTACTTAGATAAATCAAAAATTTAATTATTACCTCCAAATGAGGACCTACCTCCACATACCCCACAGAAAGCGTAATTTGTTACATTTTTTCCCTCATACCCTTTCTATTAATGCCAGTTTTAGTTTGGAGTCTTGCCACATACAGTTCGGGATTTCTAAGGACACATTCCAATACCCTAATGAGCTTTAAAACACCTCCTGCTATTTAAAAAAAAAAAGTTATAAAAGCATTTGGTACAAAACAGATTTCCTTCAGCTAAAATTTCTCCCTTTCAAATGTAGTTTTAAATTACTGCAACATGTGGAAAATTCAAATCTCAACAGTTTTCCAATCACAAAACCATCATATTTTAGTGCAGCCCTACAAAATTAGTCATAGAAATTATCTGAAAGTATTTTTTCTTTGTTTGGAAGTAGAGTTGCCATCACAGTTATTTTGTGCCAGAGTCTTCCTTCCTACTCCTTGAGGCTTTTGTCACATTTCCTAATCAGTGAAGCTCTGTGACTTTATAATAATCTAAATTTTTCTCTGAGACCTCCACTGGTAATTAAGGCATGTGGCTTTACAAAAGGAAAGATAAGAAATGTTACTAAGACAAGTGATTTAGGTTGGTGGGGTTTTTTTGTTGTTTTTTTAACAGTTCTAAACTATTTTAAGCTTCATATACATTATATGCAGTATACGTAATGTTGCTATAGAGATTTAACTAGCATTTCTTCAGGATGTTCTGCAACTTGTTGCTGGCTTGGCCTCTGCAGAAACTGCAACCTTTTCAAACTTGTGCTGATACAACAAAGTTCTCATAATGTGTTCCATGCTAAATTATCTGTATATACAGGCTTGCTACAAAAGAAACCTGTGATTCCTGATAAATCTAGCCTAAGTACAATTGTGTAAACGTCTCCCATTTAAGTGGGTGAACATGATTTGAAATGATTGTAAGAGAAAAGCACAAACAGTTTTGTCATGTATTTGCAAACAGTATGTGGCATGTCAGTTTGGAAAAAAATTCACGTTTAATTGCATCCAGAAGATTACAGTAGAAAAGTGTTGGGGTGAGGGATAAAAAGCCTTTCCTTTTCATTCTACCATGGAATAGACTGAAAGAGAAACAATTTTGTCATTCAACAATAAAAATAAAAAGTAATCCTTAGCAAGTTTTTGCATTAATTGTTTCCAAAATGTTCACTGAAACCAAAACAAAGGGCCAAAATATGCTTGCCTTGCTCGAGAGAATAATCCCACTGAAACCAACAGGACCGACTATGCAAATATGGACAGCAAAGTTTGGCCCCAAATAAACATCCCCATAACTAGGGAAAACACTAATCACCAAAGTGCACTTAACACCATAGTAGCTACAGTTTCTTTATACATGCACAGTTTGTGCGACACTTTGTACATGAAACTAGCCAATGGAATATAAATAAGTGTGCCGCTTCCTTTTAAATATGAACATTAATAATGAAGCACATTCACATTTTTGCCTTTCAAAGACCTTTTTGAAAAAAATAAAAACACCTTCCCCAAAGTAACCTGGAACATGTTGTTAAATATAGCACATACGATTCAAAGAACAGTATTAAGGTAGAAGAACTTTCACACACAAAACTGGTATTTGCTGTATAGTTGGAGTGACTTATGAAAATCCCAAGAAAAGACAATCCTCTCACCAGGAGAGGAAGGTAACAGTTGTAGTGTTAATTCAGTTTCTTCTGCAGGGGCTTGTTTTTATCTTCAGCGTTTTCAGGGCTGAAGTCAGTACAGATACCATTAGGAGCAGAAAGAGATGAAGTCTCCAAGCCACTCTCAGCTCCCATCTGATCAGCATAGAGATAGTCTTCTGCAAAGTGTGGGTGCAATTCAGCAAATCTGTAGAAGTCATCTAAAAAAAAATCGTTGTTACACAGAATCAGCTCTTTGAAACAGAAGGACGCTAAATTTGAGTACTTACACATAGATAATCACATGATCACTTTGGAGAAAAATAGAAGCAGTTAACATAATGCTATCCCCATAGCTTGTTTTAGCTTCTCAGCAGAAGTTTACCACATGCCCAGAACCAAGATGCCACAAAGAGTTACCTAAGCCCTCTTAAAACACTTCAGACCAGAGCTTAGCTTGTATGGTGAAGGGGTAAACAGGCTCAGATTTGTATTAAAATGCATGAGAAGCACCACATGCCCTGACACAGCATCTCACTTCACTGGGGGAAGGGCAGAAGCCCTCCAGCTGAGGAACAATGAACCGCAAAAGCAGTCATTTCTTAAAATCTGGGAAGTCTTTTGCAAACATGCCCTTTAATGCTTTGCACGCATAATTCTCTTCAACCTAACAGCAGGCTATCACTGCTGCCTTCCACTTTCAAGATTTCAGCATTTCAAAACTCCTAATATTTTAGGGAATAATATTGTGAGAAGATAACTAATTTGTAACACATTATGAAAAACTGATTTTAATGTTGGATACTAATAAGACAATAAAAAGAACAAGATCAGTTCTTGGGGGAGCGGGGAATCCTTAACATCAAGAAGTTACATCTTGTGTTGAAAATCAGGCATCGAAGCCCTGTCACAATTTGCTCATATGACTATTTATTCAGACACGATTTGAACACAAGATACTGCACAGGATCCAAGTCATAAGAAGCTATTCTTGTAATGTAAACTGACACTGGAAGAAGCTGGATGTGAACATTATCACTAACTCGGTCACCTACAGTGTATCACACACAGCCCACTCAATTCACTGTGTTATCCCAGAAGAGTTCATGGTCAAACGATGCTGCGAGTTCCCTGGAGTGCAGCGCAGATGACAGCTGAAGTAGCCTTTCAGAGGAGTAAAGCCCAGCTCCTCCTAGTACAACTGGGCTGGTGTGGAAGAAGGGAACTACCACAGCTCTCCTTCTCCGCTAGAGACGGCATGTTTTTCTCAGTATTGCAAAGAGCAAGGGAATGTCATTTGGCTCACAGGGGCACTGAAGTTGTAGGTCGACCCTGCCTCTGAACTGTTGCAAAGGGATAGGTGGGGAGAATGCAATAAATGTAACTTCATCCTTCCGCAAACAAAAAAGTGGATATCCTTTATCTACAGTTTATATGGATCTGAAGTATTTTGGACCCTGTAACTTCAACAAAAGCTGATGATGTTTAGGCCATGAAAACCAACACTACCATCTATGTAAGTACAATGGGCTGATTGATCATGTAAATGATAAAGTCTTCATGGGGTGGGGGGGGATATCTTAAATGTTTGAAAGGGCATACAGCAAAAATTTCTCTTTTGATAATATTTAATGCAAGTTCAACTTTTTAAAAAAATAATCTCATAGCAAAGAATGGGATGCATCTGACCTTTCTCAAGAAGGAAACGTAGAACTTTTTTATATTTAAAATATTTAACAGTGGTAGTAGTCGCAATAATATATTAGAAACACTTGAGTGCAAACTCATTCATCAGAATCAAAACAGTTACGCACATTCAGTGAATCCAATGAGTATATTATTTTTCTGCAGCTAACAAGGAAAGAGCAATCAGCTATCAGCCTTAACTGGGTCTAGCCTGCAGCAGGAACATGAAAGCATTCCTTTTTTTTTTTTTCCCCTCCTCACATGGCCACTTTAAGCCCATCCCAAGGACCTACTCCTTTTTGTAACAATACATGTATATGCACCATATTGAAGACCATGAAAAAATAGCCTTTTTTGGGAAAGGTCATTCTGATAGTTAGCCCAACTAAGGTAAGATAAATATAAAAATTTCAACCAACAGTACCAAAGATGCTCTTACAGTCTCATTAAGCATAATCCTTTTTGCATGGGAAAGACTAGAATATTCACTGTAGATGCCATTCTAAGTAATTCTTCAAAAAGCTGCTGTATCCTTTCAGAAAATAAATTCAGAAAATCCCTTGAAGCAGTTGTTCACACAAGCATGATCGTCTATATCCAAACTGGCATCCTGACAACTCTGTCAGGATCCATTCCTCAATGTTTTATCAGTACTGGATCCAAATGAAAAACCTCAGATTCCAGGAAGGATGAATTGAACAGGATGATGTTGCTGATAGACCTCAGTAAGTAGACATTTTGGGTATTGTAGAAACAAGTCCTGAAGATATTAAGGAATATTTTTCAAAGTTGTAGACAGCAGAGCCCAAGGAAAAGTGCTTGGGATCCCATTTGCCTCATTCATCAGAAATGTGAAACAAGGTGATGTAGGAAGAATTGAGCTATTCCAGCATTACTTCTAATCACATGTCTCATCCTGGAGCTCAAGCTTAAAGAAGCTGTGAAGCAGACTGGAAGAAAAGATCACCTTAGGCATTTACTTAGGAAAAAAGTAATTTTGCTTCCTATCCCTACTAAGAAGAAAGAGACAAGAAGAAGGGAAGAATCCAAAGTGGAGTTCTCTAAGACTCCTGTCTATATTTTTGTATTAAGTATGCATATGTACTACAAGAACTGCAAGAGGTTTTTCTCCTGCCTTTGCAATACCCTCCTGCTACTTGATGCTCCTGATGGAAGCTCTGTGTTCATGAACCTCCTCTAGTTTTTGTTCCCCCTCAACTACATAATTACTTTAGTGTACAGGAACCTAATAGGATAATCCTGTGGTTAACACAGGTAAGGGTACTGCATTTTAAAGAACAAATAATTCCTCCTTCTCTGAGCATTCATCCATACAGATATTCACAATACTGCTAATTCCCCCCTTCTTCTTGTTACGAGCAAGCAAGGCAGTCTTCAGAACACTCACAGTCATCATTTGTCTATCAAGAGCAGGTGGAGAGTTTCCTAGAATTTGTGATGCCCACCTACAGAACCTAATCAAATTCTCCAGAATCATGTCTTAAGATTGAGAAATCTTGCCTCTCTCTAGATTACAGTGAAAGGATGAGCTTTGGAATCAAGGTGCATCTAAACAGTTAAGCCAACAGCATGCTGCTTAAGAGAACTGACACAGATCTTTGCCAACTAGTGTACTTTCAAACATGCAACAAAAATCCAGACTTCTAACCAGTCACATCCAAGATTATCAATCTAGTTACACAATCTTAATTTTGCTTTTGGTTATTCTGTTTACCTGCAACCTGAGCTTTTTCTCTGGGATATAAGAAGGAGCTTGTGAGCAGACCCCTCTGCTGTGCGTATCCAAAGTAATGTCAGTACTCTTCCACCATATACAAAGTTTTCATTTCTCAGAACCTGTCTGGACAATGTCTTCAGAAACAGCATAGTCTGCAAGTTTTCCACCCCTCCCTTCTCAGTATTTTAAGCGCAACGAATTGAGTATGTGGAAAGTTGTACACATTCCAGGAAAGGCAAGAGATTGAATATTTACAGCAAGAACTTTCAAGACAGAAATGCAATACCAGAAGTTTATTTTCAACTTCTAATTCTCTACCGCAATAAATTGGACATTCATTCTTACTATTAAGCTTTCAGATATGTTAAAATCTCAGCGCAATGTTTATAATATAAAAACGAGCACTTATCTCAGAAAAAGATCCAAGCAAAGTTTCAAAGAAATTATGTAAACACCATCCTACTTTCTGTAGCCTCACAAAAGACTAGTCTTGACTACAGGAAATAAAATAGGGAAAATGAGAGCTAAGCACTTCAGTGGCCACTGCTGTGGCTCAGTGGTCCAGATTTTCTTGTGATGGGAATATACCATGACCACTCAGGGGAAAAGGGCAAATGTAAATGCAACTAAGTACTATTGAAGATGGATATTAAAATATGAGTTCTTTGGCAACTCACATGAACTGGTCTGAGTTCACTTGTACACCTTTTCAAATTTACCTATTCTCAAACAATGAAGTATGCCAAAATTAGAGTTCTGCTAGGCTTACCAGCTTAAATTTCTGAGCTGGTATTTTTGAAGCTGGTGATGGGGCAGGGCAGGGAGGGAGAAAAGTTGAGTCACCGCCCAAATGAGTTGGGAGACAAGGAGCAACAAAGGCAGGAAAAAGGCAATAGCGTCGGATGGACATGGAAATGCTGGGGACGTGACAGATGAGAGGTGCAGAAAGGAAAGTTAGTACAGCAGGAATCAAGGAGGCAAGACATAGCAGTCAGGAAAAAAGGGGAGCACAATGGCAATGATACTCATTCCAATAACTCTAAAATAGTTCTGTAGTTGAAGCTTTACATACATATTGTATGATTGAAACATAGGAATTACTAGTGTAGAAATTGTGATTTACTAACACTGATGTCTTAATTTGTAAGATTTTTACAACTGAAAAACATACTGATTATCCTCAAGGAAAACCACTGGAACAGGGCATGTAATAAGCACTTCTACTGGAGATACGTGATATGTTGGCTATCAACAACTTGGTTAATACTTAAATGATACAACTAAATTTAGAACCTTACTGCATAAAAGATGAAGAATCTGAAGTAACACACAAGTACTTTGGTTCCCAGCATAATCTATTCACCCAGATCTCTCAGTTTTTCAAATGCAACTTTCTCGCCTCCATATCGCCTGCATTACAGACTATATATTGAGCAGCCTGGTTAATACCCCCTCATTTCCCCCGCAGACACACTCGTGACTTATTTTGAAACAGGCTGAGAAATTATTATGGGAGCAGAAAATCTTACATCCCCCTATATTCTGGGAGGGCAGAAACATTGGGGAACAGATACAAGAGACAAAGCAACAGGACAGAACTAAGATAGCTTTCTTAAAAAACATACTGACACACAGAATATGCTGAAAGAGCTAATCTAGGTAATTGCCTGACTTAATGTAGAGGGGAAAACATCTGAAAACATGTAAACCTGACATTTGATATTAAAGGTGAAACCCAAATATTTTTTTAAAATGTAAATTCACTTTGTCTGCAGTGCTTTTATCACTGTTAAAGTCAACAAGTCAACGAAAAATGGTTAAGTTTAATAAAAATATAACCAGTTTGTATATCAACATGAGTTTATACAACTTTGACAGTTCAGATCCACTTAAAATACTTACCATATGTAATCTTTCCTTTTTCTTCTTCATCTACAGCTCTAAAAAGATGCGTAACATTAATCTGTGACACACCCATGGCAGTCTTCAGAATATGAGCTAAATCCTCTTCTGTTATAGTTCCATTTTCTGACTGGTACAGCTATGAATCAAGACAGCAAGATAAATAATTGCAAAGCTGAATGCTAACTCCTATAAACAGCACCACACTAACAAGTTATGCAAAATTAAAATTTGATATTGGAAATTCTAGTTGCTCTCAGATTGATGTGATCTACTAAGGATTTCTGATTATTCTGGGTAAAAGACAGCATTGATTATTAGTTCACCTGTGTACGCTTAGAAAGTAAAGTTTCTGAAGTCAGAAAACCCCCTATGTTTACATGCCTAAACACTGGCATTTCAGTGATATTCAGAGACAAGACTATTTAACAATAGCATGTTTTGTAGATATGTAACTGAGAATAATTTTTAGTCTATTGAGCTGTGTGTCCAAACTCCAAGAGAGTCTGGAATCAGGAGATATATTAGATCAGCCTAAAGCAGATACCATTTCTAGTTGGTCAGATGTAAACCTTGAGATTCCTTTGACCAACATCCACCTGATTCAACAGCCAGTTTGCATAAAATGCCTACATCTACATGGCATTATATTAATGAGGAGAATCCTACCCCATAAAGTGATGGGCCTATAATTTTCAACAAATACTTATTCAAAATTCTAGAAAATAATAATTTGCATATTCTTAAGTCCTGGAGCAGAGTTTCCTCACAGAAAGAGTTAGCTTTACTACTGACAGGAGACTGACAACTAAAGGTAATTGTTCATAGTCTCATTCTATCTTTGTATAAGTACAGTGTTTTCCCCGAAAAAAGGACCTGAGTATTTCAAAACATCTGTAACAAATACAACTTCATTTAACTTTCTAAAATAACTCAATTTGCCTGTGCAATGGAAATTGAGACAGAAGCGTTTTTGAAACATCCTTGTCTCATTTTCAAGCATGACAACACTGCAAACATTGAACCATGTGAAAAATGCTATTTTAGAAACTTCCATTTAGTTTCTCTACATCGAGAAGGTGGGAACTGATGAGATTGAACAAAACTGGCATACGGATGTATTTTTCACACAAGCAGAAGTTGCTGTCACAAGACCGCACACTTCAATGGGATAAAAAAAAGTCAGTGGAATAAAAAACCTGAAGTACCATGGAAGACAACATTTATGCTAAAATTGGGAATCTTGCCTTTTCCTCCCTAGCACCTAACTTGCACACAGTTTCACAAGCAGTAGGGGCAAGGACAAGACACTTGTTTAATAAAACCTGCTATATTTTCACAGATAAGTAGTCAGAAGGTGATACTTGATGGTAAGGCTCACAAGCATCATATTGGCAAGATTTACAACACCCTTTTGTTTCCCTAACAATTAGGAATGGAGGATGCGTAGCACTTAGACTGGAGTGCTGCTCTTGGGCTTTATTGCCATAATCCACCCCTTCCCTTTTAATTGTCCACTGCTTTAGAACTCTAGTGGCTCAGTAACTCCTATTTCTCAAGTTCTTCAACCATATACTAAACACTTCCACTTTGAAAACTTGTTCAGCTATATGAAATGTTGCACTTTATCCCTGAAAACAAATGACAGGGTGTTTTGCAAAAAGTAGCACATGGCAGAGGACAGCAACTGTTCAAAGTCACACATTCATGAACTGGCTAGATCCTTCAGTGGCTCCCAGTAAACTGTGTGAATATCTGACTGTGCACAAACCCTGGAAAGGAGGAGGAAGAAAGGATATTGAAAAAAAAGTTCTTTTTCCCTTTTTTCTAGAATACTGTGAGCAAAATTTCCTCAGCTCGAGACTTTTCTTAACCCTTCCAATCATCACTAGCAGGAAAAAATGAGCACTACCTGCTTCCCCTTGCTGAGTGCTTCCCCTTCTTCATACATGCATAGTACTTCTCTCCAGTTCTACAGTTAACTTTATATTTTGCAATTAACCAGAAAACTCAAAATTACGTATTATGAGTTGAACAATAGAGCAGACAGTGAAGAAAACAATTTTTTAAAGAAACAGTTCTATTAACTTAAAGTTAGGTGCTTCCAAAAAGAAAGTAATTGCCTATCTGAGATTTTCTTCCTCTAAAATGGTAAAAGTATATTGCACATTATGCATCAAACAGCTAAATTTCATTGAAATACTTCCCAAAAGCCACCTTCAGGTCTACTTCAAGCTTGTTCATTTTAGTATGAAGACACAGAGCTGACCAAACAGCACCTGACCGTTTCTCTATGACATTACATAGATCAAATGGAATAAGTAAGGGCAGAGACCTTTCCGCTTTTCCCTCAGAAGTAGCAGTAACAGCAGCTATTAGAGGCATATTTCCCCCAATATTTGTAGTAACTAAATATTTTTGTTCCTTCCTCCTTTGTCAAATTTGTTTGATACTGGCCAAAGGGTAAGAATGATAGAAGTGAACACTAAACATTCACAGGAGCCTCATTTCTTTAGCAAAACATAGTTAAGAGAGTAATACAGGTATGCTGAAGAACCTAAAAAATAACTACTCAGAAAATAAGGCTACCATGTAGTACCATGCAAATCAATGTTCTCAACTCCATGCATTCACCAGTGATGACAGCATCAAGAGTTAGCACTCTTCAGTTTCAGTAACACTAAAGACCATGTGAGTTTCAGGCAAAGGGGAAAGATGATGCAGGATGCAGCAGTTTGCATGTTGAAATAGCAGTATTAAAGAAATTAATTAAAGAGTAATAAACCAAGGTGTCAGACAAACCCACCAGAATAGTAAACATTAAGTATTGCTGCTGTCAAATTCCCAAAAAGTCTGCATTAATAACTATCTATGCTGATGCTGCAACAAACCACTGAGGCTAGAATAAGATCAGGAGCACTTCTGGGAAGCATAAAGTCTGGGCTGAGACTGCAGGACCAACACAGAAACACGGTAAGAACTAAGAGGGAAGAAAATCTTGTCAAGAAGGCAAAAGGGGCTTAAAAGATTAATCTCTATTAACATGTAGGAAAAGTTTTTAAATATTTTATTAACTTGAAAAATAAGATTTGATTGAAACATTAAAAAAGTAGTAAGCACAACTCATTAGCCTTTAGTTTAGAAGAATCAAAGGGCTTCAGGTTTGAGATTCAATGTGCTGAAAAAGATTCTACCAGAGTTCCACAGAGAAAAATTTCAAACTGCAAACTTCATATTTTTACATGACTTAAACTTGCAGTGCATTCCCTCTGAAATGACCTCTTAATCTAACTTTCCATTAATGTTATTTTAAAATGCAATTAAGTATTAAAAGGGCATGTCAAACAAGCTTCTTTTAAGTCTAATGGCAGTATTAATAATTTCTTAAAAAAAAAAAGTAAACTACATAGAGGAAGAAAATGCTGCTTACCTGAAATGCCAACTGAATTGTTTCCAGAGTTTTGGATGGCTTACAGACAACTGACAGAGCAATGACAAATTCCCGTATGTCAATTATACCGTCTTCATTCTGTAAAGGAAAACCTCACCTCAAAATACTGCAATTTGTCTGAGAACTTTCATAAATAACTAACAGTGGCTAAAGATGGAGAATATTCAGAAAGATCAGTACATATGCCACTACAAAAAAAGTCTCACTGAAATGAAATTAATTCAGGGCAAGAACCTGGGTCATCAAAGCTCTGCAGCCCTTCTCAGAGTTTTGCTCAGAAGTCATAATTCAAAGATTCTTGGAAGACAGTGCTGCTGCTGTGACCCGTCACTTGCATATTTAAGATTTTTACGTTAAACCATCTGACTTACTGTGTTGAAATTGAAGTCAGAACTAGAGAGCAAGGTAGCCTAATTTAAGCCCTGACTACATGACATCTGCTCTTTGGTCTAAGAGAGAACACTGGACATATCCACCACCTGGTCCAAACAGCACCTCATCCACACAAAGATAATAGTCATTGCCCCATCCTGACTAATTGCCAGAGGAATGAAAAACTGGCCCATCTGCCAAGTTCCTAGGTCCTTCAGGTTTCAGGCATCCTAGAAGAACAAGAAATTTATTTACAAGGTAAGTGAAATACCAGCTAATAGGCATTGCATTCAGTTGCAACAAGCCACAGCAGAGCTTTAGCCTGAACCCATCTTTCTTCCTCTTCATATTTTGCATCTAGAAAGAAAATCAGTTTTGTCCAACTGATACTCCTTTTAACTTCTACCTGAATGAATGCTTTATTTAGTTGATGATAGGTGCTCTTACCTTGCTGAAAGGGAAATGCAGTAGGCAAATACTATGGTGAAGTACTCAAAAGCACTTAGGCCCAAATCAGACCTCAACTGGAACAAACTTAGGCTAAAGCAGAGTTTACGAGAAGTAGTACAATTTTTAAACGTGATGTTATTTCTTACCTCATCAAACAGCGCAAACATACTTTCTAATGTGTGAGAAACTGGAAATTCCAAGTATGCTGAAAATTCTTTAAGATCAACCTTTTCTTTTTTCATTTTCATGGCACTTGCAGCATATTTATCAAGATCATCTTCAAGTGTTTCTGGCTTCAGGCTAGAAAGCATATTATTTTTGCACATTTAAAAAACATACCCAGTTTTAACAATACAAAATTCAATATAGCAAATGAAGCAATGGATGATAATGGTGTAAAACATTGCAAAATCTGGAATCAGAATTACTAAGCAACTTTAAAATAAAATAACATATTCCTGTAATTTTAAGGCTCCCATTAGTTCTTGAACTGTATTAGAAATTACTGCAAGGGCATAGGAACCGTGGTCATAAACTTGTGTCCTTTATTCTACCTTGATTATAAGCTGTATGTGTAAGCAGTTCAACATGAACAAGAAACACAGTCTAGAACTAGCTAATAAGAAATACCAGGCATGGAGAACTAGGTGGGATTTAGGTCACCCGAATATGGCTGTATTGTAGGACAGTAACATAAACCAATTACGATTCCAAATTTACTAATGTCACTGAACAGGAAAGACCTAATGCATCTTGCCTAAAAGAAATCAGGGATTACATAATAGTGATTATACTGTTAATCCTGTTTGTCAGTCCTCGTTTTTCACATTCAGTCCAGAGTTGGACACCATTACGAGGTGACTCAAACAAAGTTACAGGAGTTAATACAGCTACAGAAATTCCCTCAGTCCTTCCAACTGCAAAACCAGATTTTGACTGATGAATGAACAGCTTTATATTTATGCAGGTATCTACTGCGTGGGTTTTTCGGTTTTGTTATTTTTTGGGTTTTTTTTTCCTAAGTTAAGCTTCCTGGTTTTGTGAAAATAAGTCTTACTATGAATATAATAAATGCTGCTGCAGGTATGTGGGGAAAAGTAAATTCCCTCCCTATTACAACATCAACAAAATTGTGATCAGCAGGTTTCCTCTGAACTGATCTAGAGTAACATGGGCATCCAAACTTTCCAGTCTGAAGACAAAAGAAGCTGATAAAGTCTTCTACAATATTCTTCTGCAGTTGTCTGTTTTGCTGTTTGCTGCTGCAGACAAGGAAAAGCAGCTGTTTACAGAACTCAAGTTCACACCAGAATTGTTCCCAGACTGCAGCTGGAACTCCTCTGCAGCTTCCTTTCAGTGACAAGAATGAATAAAATATTTAATATCAGCATTCTCAGGAGCTTCTGAAAAAATGATAAGAGCATTTCTGAAAGGAAGATTATCTAATATGTCAGCTCCAGACCTTGACTGCTTGCTGAAATGACCCTTCCTAAACATCACTGCTTTTAAGCAAAACCACAACTACTATGCTGTCTGCCATTACCTAAACTGACTCACCAAAACAGTGAGTACTAAACAGTGTTTAGTACTAAACAATGCCAAGCCCTGTATTTCTGAATTGCAAGACCTGAACATGCAAGAATTTTTCCAGAGACCCATGGGCCCTGCAGAACATTCATATATTCTCCATCCTGGCATTAAAGCACCTATGTTAAGTTTTGGTCCTAGACAGTATAAAAAGAGCAGCAAACTCTCCTCTGCAAGCATTCGTTTTCCATGATCAAGCAGAAAAGTAGCAGGAACAATGACAAAGAAATCCAAGGAAGATTTGAGATGCACACAGAACTCAACTTCTCACAAGCAGGATTACATATAAGAAGTGTCCACAGATAACACATTCCCACTGTAGTAGCTGATATGGATTTTAACTGTAGGATGAAGGACAGCTGGCATCCGAATCCTCCCTTGAGATAAGGCACCACTGACACAGAACATGCAGTCTAACATCTGTCTCTAAATCAGAGATTTGATTTGCAATGAATTGACTCAAAATTCACCTTTTAGAACTGAGCGAGTACTTGTTTGGTGAGTAGTATTCAAGACTTGTGAGATCTCCTCTTCACCAGTTAGTTAAGTCCAAAAAGCTAAAAATTTTAAGGCAAAACCTTGTACGGAAAGTAGCATGGCTTACCACAAATCTTGCAGACATCTTGTGGTTTGGGTTTTATAAATATAGGAAGAGATGTGAGCCAATTGCAAAATGAGTATGTGGATCAGCGAGGCAAACTTAATTGCTTCCGCTTGTCTAGCCTTTTCAGAAAGTAATTGATCTGTGGATGACCATGACCTACTATGCAGAAGTCTTTTGAAGTCAAGTGTTCCAAATCCCCACAATAGGTTTTGAACCAATATGAAATGGTTTGAATGTCTCAAATCCTTTAAAATTGTTACTTTTATCCCAATGGAGGCTATAAAAGCTAGAAAGCCAACAGTGGATGTCTTTGCTCATGAAATCATGCTTGTTTGCATAATGGCTTCCATGCAGGATCTAGGTTTTATGATGCATAACATTATTTGCTATTGTGGTGTTTTGCTTCATTTTTTAGGCCACTGCGCACTAAAGAGAACAAAAAGTCATTCCAGAGTCCCTGAAGATGGAAAGGGCATTTTTCAAGATCAACAGCTTTGAACATTAAATCCTTCACAGCAGACTTCACAAGGAAAACCAGATCCCTGAAAGTAGGATATTTTCAGTATAATTGCCACTATTTTTAGCAAGTGAGATGTCTTACCTCCTTAAAGCTAGTTTTAGCTGTATTTGACTATTTGAAAACAAACTCCTTTCTTGCATGCTGGGAACCTGCCAAAAAACTTCTAGTGTCTCACAGAGCTGGAAGTTGCTTAAGAACAGCTTGATCTTGTAGCTAGCTACTGCAAACTGCAAGCTCAGAGAAACATGCCCTAAGCCAGAAAAGCGCAATACATTGTTTTATGTCTGCTGATGTACTTCTGTGCAACTTCGTGTCATAATGGAGAAAGGATGCTGAACAGCTGCAAAACCGACCTTCCAAATACTTTGGCACACCCTGCCTTGATCAATGAGGCAGGGGTTATCATGGTTGGTATTTGCTGTGTTGAGCCTAATCCATGATCACCTCCTGCAATGGACTGTATTGCTTTTGTCATGAATGCAGACGGACAACATCCTCCAGAGGTTCTTTCTTGTTATAGATGATCTCTGAACACTCTAAAGTCATGGCACTGTTAGTTAGCTGTGAGGGGTTATTACTCTGGGGATGCAAAGCTCTACCTACAGTCTGGACCACCGTTTCAGGCACACATGGACAGCAGAAGTTTACATTGTAGTCTGGATGGTCAAGGCTGTTGAGCAAGAATAGGCAGGCACCAGGCCTATGAGGTAATTATCTTCTTGCAGATCTTACGAGCCAATAGAGGCATTGCCTAGTAGGATCCTTGTGGCCAACTGGATGAGATAATATTGGACAATAGTGGTCAAAATGGAACTGCCGTTTAATTCAGGTCATTCTTACCAAAATACTATGGCTTTTAAGAGACAGCAGAATTGATTCAACACGAGCAGGTTTACTAACATTAAATTTCACCAGGGCCAGGGAATGTGTAAGGAGGTAAACCTTGCAGGCTTGCTAAGGTTGTAGAACATTCTTCCAAGGCAGACATCACTAGTACTCATCACACGGGTACAAGACAAAATAATACTCAGGCTCAGGAAAGCAAAGGAGATGGTTAAGGATTCAAAAAGAATTCCAAAATAAATTGCTTCCCATTGTTAAAGATCAAAGTTACTGACTAAGAGTAATCCTACTGAGAAAGCTAAGAAATCTAGAAGGCAAGAACAGGGGATTTTTCCAAAATCTGACCTGAAAAAGATGATTTGGTGCAAACCATACCTTTTACAAGTAGCCATAATCAACAAAGCCATACTGTCTTCAGTGAAAAGTACAAAGAACCTCAGAGTCTGTGTACTAAATCCATACACCAGATCAAGAACCTGCCAAACCAAAGGGTCTTGTGCCACACATATACCAATAATAAAATGCACATTCACCATGATACCATATTATGTTCTTGCTGTACTTTCTATACTTATTGCTTTTTGATGCACAAAGTGGAAACCAACTACCATACTGGAAGAGAAAATGTGCTATCTTGTACAAGTATCAGTGCTGCCTAGCCTAAAAAAAAAAAAAAAATTAGAAAAAATAGATGAAAAATCTTAGTTTTTAAATAGTATTTGCCAAAGACTTGTCGAATGAATAGGGAAAATCAGGAAGTAGAAAACAGTGACTAAAACAGAAGGATGTGAGACACATCCACCTTTGCTAGATGTTCCAAATCATACTTCGGGTTTTAAAGGTAAAAGATTTGGGGAAAAAACAACCAGGAAGCAATTAAGTAAATAATGTGGTTGTAGAGTACTCAATGTTAACAAATTGACAGGTAGACAGAAAGCAAGAGAAATGAGAAGAGATCAATTTAAAAAAAGAAAAAAAAATCAAGCACAGGATAAGCAAAAAGATCTTAATCTGGCTAGAAGTTTGACGAGGCTATCAATACTTCCCCCCTCTCTCAAAGAGATGCAAAAGGCCTAAACGACTACAATTACTTGAGCAAAACTTCAGGTTACATCAAGACCTGACTTTATAAGCATCATCTAATAGCAAGCAGAACACAGTCACAAAAAAAAAAGTCTACTTTGGATTGCAGTATGTGCTACATTTGGCTTTTTTTTTTTTTTTTGGTAAAGAGAGAAGAGATATCTCTAATATTCAGAAAATAAAAGAATTAAAACTGAGAATAATTACAAACCCAGAAAATTAGAAAATCACTTGACTGAAAACTAAGAATTCTCTAAGGAGCTACTGATGGCCTAAAAGCCATGGTTCCATAAGAAAGGGGAACAACAATTAAGGCTAGAAGGTCCTTCTAGTCCAGGGGCCAAGTGAATGCAAAAATTAGAATGAAAAGAAGTTTCAGACAATAGGAACAAAACAATTCAAATCGGGACTTAAGGATTTCCTTGCAGGCAACTACCCTAAAGCAGCTCATAAAAAGTATCTCATAAAAAGATGGAGATGAAACTTATTTATACTGTATTAACACTTTCTGAAGGAGAAGATATCCAAAGAGGTCTTCAATAAAGCATAAAATCCAAACAAGCTTCAATGTCTAGAACATGGTAATAGATTCAAAGTACAAATAGAGAACCATTTTAAGCAGTGGGGTAATTAATTGTGGAATAAGTCATCAAATGAAGCCAAGGATTTACAATGTATGAAAGCTACAATAAAGATTGCATATAGCTTAGTAATCAGCTCATTGGTCAGACATAGATTATCAGGCTCAACAGAAGCATAACTGCTTGACAACTAATGAATGCAGAATTTGAGAAGATGAGACTGTCATCAATTGATCTCATTGATACAGCAATCATTTTGCCACAGGGGTCAGTATGAGGCAGCTGAGTTTCAGCCAGCTGTGACCTGGCAGCTGTATAGCTGTGTTAAGAGCCCAAGCTCTTCATTAGATGAAGCATGAGAACTCACTGCTGTGGCTGCATGACTTCTGGATTGGATCCCATCCAGCTGAGCACAGACTAAGCAAGTTTTACAGACAATGTTAATGAATCCTGTAGATATGTAACATGAACAGAAATAACTCTCCAGTGTAGCAAATTGAGGTATCACTTGATTTCAAAGAATCTAAACCAAAACCAAGTCTGGATTTGCCTTACTATAAAAATCTTGCATTTAAAACTGGATGTTACCTTGAAGGTATGCTATTGCTCAAAAATAAGTATTAAGACTAGATGCAAAATCCATTGGGTAAAGTCTACTGTTCCAGTTATTTAGGGATGTGACTGGATGATCTTAATGCCTCCCTGGCCTCAAAACCTTTGAATAAACAGCAAAATGACTGCATCGTCATCAAACATGCATTAGAGATGAAGTCATATTACAATCTTCATCCAATTGTGCCAGAAGAATACCATTGTAATAGCCTTCTTACTGGCACATATCCAATCAAGACAGGATAATATTTCACCAATGTACAATTGCTCAAAACAGAAAGAGAACTTTTGGGTTGTGGGGAACCTCACTCACAAATGCACATAATTGTTTTAGAGGCCAAAACAAAAACCCAGAAAAACATAATTTGAAAGAACAGCTTTAAATTGAGCAGACAGAAGCCAGACAATTTAACAAGAGGATTAAGCTGAATCCCGGGATTATCAACTGCATAATAAGAGATGTGGCTGGTTTTTTTGGGGTGGTTTTTTTTGTTTGTTTGTTCATTTTTCTTAGTACTGTAAATTCAGAGCCTTTGGAACAAAGCAAGAATGTTTGCTTCCCCTTAGAAGTCTCTCCTATCCTACTGGAAGTCTTTTCAGATGGAGATCCCGACAATGAATTAATATATGCTTGTCATCCGAATGCATAATGTATGCTGTCCTACATTCCTTATTCTCCAATAGATCTTTCTCTTCTTTTTTTCATTTGTGTACACAAGCTGGGAGATGAAGGGAAAATTAGTGAAAGGAAATAAATTACAGAATGGAAACATGAAACTATGCCCTGTACTTTCAGGTGAGGAGACAAAAAATGGAAAAGGGTGTTTGTATATTAAAGCAGTTAATAGGATGAGGCTCTAAATTTAGTTTCTGGTTGTTGAATAGGATGAGAGGAAAAGCAGGAGAAAAATTGGAAAACAGCAGCAACAAGTTCTACTATTCGGTCTATGTGAATTTTTTCACTCTTTGCTGAAGCTTTTCTGAAAGGTAAAGCCAGAGGGAACTGACACTATGAGAAGAGAGGAGCCACACTGCATATACTAAGCTACGGTTTCGTTAGAAAGTCCATCTAACAGTAATGTACTCAAAAGATCAACCACTTCTTTGTGCTTCTTGGGAAAGGGTGACCCCTCTGCCCTCACTGTTATAACATTAATCCAGTCACAAGACTGCTATGGCAGCACTGTTCTCCCTTCATCGGTGTCACAGGAAAGGGCAATTGACTCTTAACTGTATCAAATATTTGGAATCCCACAGTATTCCTGAATCTCTTCAGGAGGTGTCTTCTAGTTTTGTTCAGGAATGAACATTTCAGACACACTCTGGTCACTTGTCAGACTGTGAAAATATGCATTTTACAACCTACTCTACTCGTTACGATCTAGAGGTGCTGCTTGAGAGTGGATAACAGTATTGGTTTAACTTGATATCAGTGTTTCCCAATTGTAATATGACAATGTTCCGTATATATTCGTAAATCCAGTATTGTTATGTGAAGGGAAAACAATATCAACATAGTTATATAATAAAGATGCACCTTACATATAAATATTGTATATGCTCACCCAAGGCTTCTCACAAGCTTTGCAAATTCTAAAAGACACGTGTCTGAAGGCAGACGAAGTTGTCCTTCAGCCAAAGCTAGCTGACAGTCTTCAAATGTGTAGTCTGTCACTGAAACTCCCAATGCCCTTGAATAAACCAAAGAAACACAGTAAGCAAGATAATCTAATAAAACTATGCAGAATCATAACTTTTTTTTTATAACAAGTAATCCTGTAATTATGCTCTCTATTCTGAATAACAATAAGAGTCCATAATAAGGAAGAGCCCATAAAAGAAAGTTCACATACAAATGTGAAATGAAATATGGTACTTGACCCATTGCAGAGCATCTATTTTGACTTTACATGTATATGAAAATATAAAAGAACACAAGGGAAAAATTAGGCAGTGCATAGACTTTCAAATTCTGTGATATTTTCATAGAAGTGAATAACAAGGGTTTAACAATAATTAATCTAGAACAAAAATACATATTTATTAATAATGTTAAATATTTATATTATTATTATTACACTAACATGTTAATAAATCAATAATCACCTGAGCAGAACAACTATTACCTTCAAGTAATTAAAATTATACAACAGGCAACATTTCTCTACAAAGAATGGCTAGAACATGAGTATAAAAGAAAGTAGAGTTAGACTCCAAGCAAACACAAGTTATTTTTAAGGCCTTGACTCTGTGTAAGCACTGCTCAGCAATAATGAAAACATCCCTGTATTATCAACACTTTTCAGCACAAATACAAAGCATAGCCCCATACTAGCTACTATGAAGGAAATTAACTCTATCCCAGCCAAAACCAGCACAGCTGTAAGAAAGGTAGAAGAAACAATACTCCCAAGTTTTCATATGCCAAACAATTAAGTACTCATTTTTGCTATACTTCTCACTTGATGCTCTGTAGTAATAGCAGCACCAAAAGATACTTCAAGGAAATCCTGATACTGTAGTTGCACTGCATTTGCTATGCCACAGTTGAGAGAAAGACACTTTGCTTTGGAAGAGGCCTTTAAGAATTCAGTGTACAACCATAAGACGCAATTTAGAAAGCAAACACTGCTCCATACAAGTTACTCATCTGCCATGTTTTCCATTATACTTGATTTTACGTATATCAGTACGGAACACTATCTCCTTTGTGCAGCTTTTTCTAGTTTGATGAAGTCTTCACAAAATTTTTTTCTTCACTTACCTTCATTCTTTTCATCTACAGGTTTTTCTACCTTACTATTAACCACCTTTTTCATCTGTGAAGTTAATACACAGTAATGGCAAGATTGATACAAAACCCCGAGGCATGCCACAGTCATTTTGGCTTTGATGAAAACTCTACATTCAATTCTATACCTTATTATAGACAGTTTGATCTGTAATGGCAGTTACCTCTCATGCAGTAACAACTTAATTTCTGTTAAGTAGCCTCTTCCCTAGAATCTCATTGCAAGGCCTTTGAACGCCAATGTAAATAACACAAGCCAGTTCTCTTTCATCCACCAATTAACTGTCAAACTTCAGGAATTCTAATACATTAGTAAGACATGCGCTTAACATTAAAGCTACTGATCAGGGTTTCTCTCCTCTCTAAGGTTGAGCAAGTCAAATATTCAGAAAAAACACCTCACTAATAGATTTTCAAGCTCAAAAGTACCAAATATGTTAAAAAATCAGGTATTATTTATTAGCTACTTATGAATAAAACAAGGACATAGACGGTAGTGATTTTGGATGAATAGCCTCCTCCTTGGAAGAAGAACAACAGGAAGGAACAAAAAGAAAAAGCCAACTAAACCAAAAAGATACAGGTACATAGAAAAGACATCCTAAAATCCTGCAGACTGTTGAAGGCTAGATTGCCTCATATGGGTGATCCTAAGCGATTAAATTCAGTTCCTCCAAATTTTTCACTTCTTGATCTGTTCCTGTTTCATCACCCTACTCCTCCTGTGAAGAATGTCCTAATAGTATTTGCAAATAAGTAAACCACCTTAATGGAATAGACAAGAGGTCCTTGTGACACCATATTTCATCCCATAGACTTATGGTTAATGTAGTAATAAATGTTGTGTAAAATCCAGATGAAGAACTCCCCCATGCTGAGGGCATTTAAATCTATTTCCAAGTTCCACCTGACTTAGAGATCAGGTATTACAGGTCTTGTCAATACTTGTATTAGATGGTATTTAATACAGTGTAGTATTATACAATACAAAATCAATTTTCCTTGGAAGAAGAAAAAGGGGTGGAGGAAAGAAGGAGAGCCTATCCTGCCAGTTTAGATTACTGCCTGTTCCCTTCTTCTGTACTGCATGCGCACTAGATCATCCTTATAAACTTCCCCGCCAACTGTAGTGAAATAGCTGAACTCCTAGAGCAGCAAGGACACACTATAAAGCACTACTATCCAGAGCAGCTTATATAAAAGAATGTGGTAATAACCAAAGATCTTGTCCAGCTAGGCACATTACACCAAATTTCAAGAGATCTTCAGGCAACAGTAGGTATAGCACACAACAGAAATACAGGAACTTATGGGCAATCAGCTGAAGCGTAGCGCAACTATACAGTAAAGGGGAAGCTAGTTAAAAATAAGTTAAACTGAAAGGGTAAAGCATTCATTTGTGGTACAAAACAACACACCATATTAGGGAATCAGGAGAAGTGACAAGACACTTATTTAATAAGATTCTGAAAGGACAAAAAAAAAATCCAGTATGACTCAGCAACTGATTAAAGGTGGCAATTAGAACAAAAAGACTGGTTTTTTTTAAAAAAAAAAACCAACCCATTCTCTCAGGGAAAAGAGAGAAGACAGACAAGTTAAAACATAACCATAAGGTGGCAAGCCAAAGCAAGAAGCAGTAACTTGTTAAAACTAAAAGCTAGCAGCTTTTCAAACACATCAAAAGAAAGATGACTAAGATCAGGCCACTCAGCCTGGGGGGAGGATAGAAGCCTGACTGACTGCCATCCCAGAGCCAATGCCAGATATAAATAACTTCTCCTAAATAATGGTCCCCAAACATGCTGAAGGAGCCTAGCCAGAGAGGAATTAAAAAAAACAACCACCAACCAAACCCAAACGTGTGATACAGAACAAATTCCAAACAAAAGTAGGCATCATCTCAGATTCAGCCAAACCATAAGGGGAAAATAAAACCTGCATCTTTTTATAGCTGCGTGCACCCCTTACAGAAGGAGCGGAATTTGGGCCAGACTTACAGTGCTATTAGTACAGGAAAAATTCCCACTACAATTAATGCCTGCAGGTATGCGCAGTGTCAACACAAACACAAAACAGGATTGAGAAGGGTAAAAGCATCTTCTCTTGCTCACCTGTTGGCAATTTTCCAGCCTCTGGACTTCCAAAAAAAGCAAAATGAACTGAAACAGTGTGTTTGTATATACATCCAGACTTTCGGAATTACAAATATGAGAAGTAAAGAAGGGGAAGAAACAACTTTTGCTTACAGTGACGTTCAGTCATAGGATCAAACAAGGCCAGATAAATTAGAGTTCAAGGGGCTCTTGAGTTCAGAAAGTAAATCACAAGCTCTGTAGACCTAGCAGTTTAACACAAAAGGACCTCGATTTCAGCTCAGAATTATGAAAAAACTGAGGCTGGGGAACATATAAAGCTCATTATTTGTGCTAAGACTTGTGAATTTTTCAGTTTCTTAGAATACTACAATACTGGCATACTAGAGTTCACTGTAAAGCCTGGGTACAGCTGCAACTGACAGGATTTTCTACAGAACCAGTTACCAAACTATCCCAACTCATCTCCAGGGCAATCTTCCTCTACTTCATTTCAACTGTTAGGGGAAAAAAAAAAAAAGATCATTTCAATTTGAGATGCAAATTGCAAGTGCAACCCAATGTTTTTAGTAAACCAGGAATATAACAGCTTGTCCCATATCTTCATTTGGATGCATTTTTTTCCCCTCTTTTCTTCATGCTACCTCTGCTTTCACAGTCAGTTAACCTGAGCCTGGCCTTTTTACTGTTCAGCACTTTTACATGGCCAGATGTGCATGTTTGGCTTGACATACCTTGAAACTTTCTCCCTCCCTCCCACCTCTGAAATACTGGCTATTTACCTTTCATGATACCACATTACATGAAATTCCAAAATCAGCAAGTCACTTCAAAAAAACCAAACCAAAACAAATCCCAAAACAAAACCAAACAAAAATCCAAAAGCCTTCTTGCAAACCCAAACTGCTACATGCAACAGTTGTACTTGCTATGTTCTGACTTCTCACACCAAACAGCTCCCTATGTCTAACACTTGTGCAGTCATACTATAAAAATAAATTATCAACTTTCTCATCTTCTGCATACCAATCCACTATACATACAAAATTCTGAACATAAACCAGACTGTGACTGCTATAATATTATGGAAAGTGAGAGAAAATAGTACAGGCAATATTGTGACACTCTGAATCTATGCTTTAACAAAAACATTTTCAAAATGTTTTACACAGTTAATAAGCAGAACTGTGAACTAATCTAGAAAAATATTCCACAGGCTACTCAATAAAACCACTTTAAATTGGCTGTAATCCTTATAGGGTGCTGAAGACATTAAAAGGATAGCAAATTTGGTGTTTTACTTCACTATCAGATGTTTAGGAAAAAGACATACAAAACATGGTAGTCTTCTGTGTAGGAACTTCCTGAACCAGAGACTATTTGTACCACTGTGGCTTAGAATCACTGATGGAACAAATTTTTTACAGTATATGTCAGCTCCGATGGATTCATTTTATGCATCTGGTAGTGAAAGCCACAATTTTGTACATGTTTTAAAGAGTATTTAATTTTACTTTTAGCTGATCTACTGTTGAGTGCTTTCTATCTCTTCTGCTACAGAGAGTAACAGGACTTGCCTTACTACACATTTCCAGAACACTCATGACTTTACTGACCTTCAAAACAACTCTCCACTTTTTTTCCCCCTCTTTTTCTTTTTCGTTCTTTCCCAAGCTGAAGAGGTTTCACCTATTTAGTCTTGGAAGGCCAGGGTAGATAGCCCCTTTTCTCTCCTTGGACTACTCCTACTTTGTGACCTTCTATAAGCAAATGAAAGGCCAGTCATAGGAGTCTGGAGGTCACA